GTTGACAATACTTATTTGTAGCTACGTCCCTTACACTTATTACACATTCGGTATAGTTAGGATATTTCTTGTTTAAGCCATATTTCAGCGGACATAAAGGATGTGATTAGACCAAGAAAAGACAAATTTCGAATAAGATAGTTAAGCAAACTCTACCTTCCCTTTTCCAGTGAAATGCGTTGAAAGGTACTGAACAAAATTACATTACACACAGTTCTTATCAATGCATCAAAATCACTAAACTAATGCTACTTTTGTACCCAGGGCAACCAGCCACTTTATCTCATCGTCCTTGAATATCCTTAAATAAGATTGTTGGTGTTAAACATCCGTGTCTGTTCAACAGAAACTTCATCTCAACTACTATAGCCAACTAAGAATATGTATTTGTAGTGACGATAGTAAACGAAAATGCGCTAATAAGTGGCTCCCATCACAGGGTGAACCGGAAAGGAACACAGAGATTGCGGCCCCCATAGGATCCGCAAAACATACTATTGAGATTTCCAACAGCTTAACTTGAGGGTTATGCGCTACTTAATCAATACTAATAACAACACTCCAATAAAAGAAGAGGTATGAGAAATGGCGCCACCGTTGGGAATGGCATTTTACTCCAAATGCAAAAAAACGTACGACAGAATCACAAGCGTTTCTGAAATGATTGAGACATCACGGACTTCCGCTCCCCCTCCCCCCTCCTACCCCAGAATCACCTCCTCCTATTCCTGTTCTCCCGAACGCGCAATCTTTCCGGTTTTTAATCGCTCAGAGTCACCAACGAATTCTTCTTTGCATAATTTTGTTCACTCCTACTCTCCGTCTTCTCCTAGAGAAAGAAAAAATCCACTACTTCATTTACTCAAAAGATATTACATTCAAACGCATGCTTTCGTTCAAAGGAGTGTTTGCTACGATAACGTACACATGCGTTTTTTCGCTCACGGCAAACACCAAACAGTCACTACTAGTAATCGAAAGATGAAGTACTCTCAGCAAGATTCGCTGCCTTTTAGTCATCTTATTACGTAAATACACAAGAATAAACAGTAGTGAGGAATGATTAATAGATCGAGTAAACTAGCAAGAGCTTCAATGAGCTTCAATTCAAAGTAATCAAAGGAACAAATGAATGGATGTTGTCTCAACAACTTAACTGCGTTTACTTGAACGTTTTAAAACCTAGAAATGCATGCACACACCTGCAATACCGTGCTTCCCTCGTTGCAAGTCTGCAGGCCATTCGAAGTAGACTGCAAATCGAAGACAATCGTTAGTAAAACTTCATGTTATAATCATGCATAGATCACTCTGACATGATAACTGACCCAAACAATGCAAACTCCGCGTCTAATTCAAAAAATAGATATGAATAAGTGACAGATTTTCCTAGACGAATGACGGTAATGTGAGCTGATAAATAGTCTACCAGTAAGCGGTACCGAGGAGCAAAGATAGAGGAAACACGCTTCCCATGGGTTTCATTTTGAAAGAGGAAAATTAGTACGAAAGAAATCACTCACAATCGCTTCTATCTACGTCTAGCCGAATGAATTGTTAAGTCAAGCCTAACAAAATCGGGAACAAACTTCAGTACGACAAGGACCACGCCGTGTACACCTCAGAAAAAATCGCACCGACATCGACCACGACAGATTGATCGAAAGGTGTTCACATAAAATTAAGAGATAATCAACTTACCGCAGCGTCTTGTCGATATGCCTCTGCTTCCTCCTGAAATTCAAACATAAACGGCCAAACATAATGGAGTATAGGCAAGCAAAATATCTTACTTCGACACGTTTTTCTAGGAGAGTATAACGATGTTGTCTGGCTTGTTCACGTGTTTCTCGTTTCACCCGCATTCTTGCCTCAGCCTTGAAAAAATTCGGTTTCACTTAACAAATGATGGAAAACAGCTAAATGAAAAAATGAAATGGAAGATGCACTTGCATACCATTTGAATCCGCTATTTCGGAAAAGATGGCGAAGCCATGCAACTAGCTGATAAGAACCACACAAAGTGTCCTTAGATTGCCGTTCGCTACGGCTGATAGGAAAGAAAGCAGCAAGTACGAGGAAGTAGGAGTACTAGGGAAAGAAACTAGCATAAATAGGAACATGGAAGGACGTCAATCTTCGTCGTGAATCGCACTGACTGGCATACCAAATAGAACGCTTACTTTTAAGGGCCATGCTATAGTACAAGGTTATAAATCCGAAAGGTCGTCAAAAAGAAAAGATACCTATATTTTCATTCATATAGGTATATTGTCTCTTCGTTATATGATGACCTCAAAGTTGCATTTGCAGTGGAAATTTGCCAGACCCAGCACTATTGCAGATTTTTCAGTATTGGGTGCTCTTGGAACAGACTTAACTGAAAAGTTTGCGATGAATAGAGGGCAAAGGTAATATAAAATAAGGACAGGGTAATAATTTGAAAGCTTTAAGGCGGGACAATTGGTTTTCAAAAAGCTATACTTCAAAAAGCTACACCAGCGCTTCGAACAATGGTTATCCCTTCGCTACATGAACTACTGACTTGATTTGGCAGTTTATCGGTCTATCGGCATGTGTGCCAAACTGTATTCAACTTGATCTGTCTGGCCGTTCTATAATGCTCCTCTCAACTATCTCAGCAGAAGTGGCACAAATATGCAATCTCTAACAAAGCCGCTAACCTCATAGGTACTGCAATATCAAATTTGGTGATGTTGAGGAAGGTAACATTACATAGCCAGTATGAAAGAAACGAAGTGCACTGTTGACCATATCACAAGGTGATAAGATCGAGCGTGGAGAAGAATGGTCGAGAAAGATGCTACCAGAATCAGAATCAGTGTCAGGATATCAATCCAACCGAAGTGGTAATTTTACTATCATGATGACGCCTCCACATTACTATATAGGACATTTCCCTGTGATACGTATCCCTCTCCTCATAAAGCGAAGCACAAGGCTTATAGCGAATGCAGAAAAAGAAAAACCCGGCGGTTTCGGTGAACACACTGGTGGACAAAGGCGCAAATAGCCAAAAAGGAGTATAAATACCAACTAAAATGAATCGATCGCGCGATTTCTTCTCGGATTTATTTATTTTAATTTGCTAGTACTTGTTCTTTTATACCTAATGATAACAAGTAACATCTCCATGTACGCGGTCCGTATGGTAAAATATGCCTCAGCTTAGCAAAGGTCTTCCAAGCTTTGCTAAGCGTCGGAGTTGACATTTTGATTCGGTCTCTTCTTCCTTCGTTTCCTTTTTTACTTCCATAAATGTGTAAATACAAACAGAAATTCAAGTAAGAGCGGAGTACTTATGGCAAGAGGTGTGTCCTTCCTGGGAAATCAAGCCATAAAATGCTTCTGATGTCCACTGTAAGGAAGGCTAAGAAGCTTTGCTCGTACATTTCCATTTCACATCTTTGTATCAAATCTACTGCGAAACCCGTAGTTTACTTTAACCCTCCGATTACTGCTCAAACTATTTTGCTTCAATCATGCTTTTTGAATTCTTTACCATAAATTCACTAATAATTCATAATTGTCAGGCGAACTCGCTAGCAAAATCACGGTTTCATGGCCAAATACGCCAAAAGGTTGCCAATGTGTTAAAACGATTCCAAAAGTGGAGCGATGCTGAAGGCAGCGATTGTGATAGGTCCTGGGTTTTGAGTGGGAGAGTGTGCTGAATAGAGCGAAAATTTGCTTACCCGCTGATATTCGATAATGGGGGGGGGGGTGGCGGGGGAAGCATGACCTAGAGAACTAGAATTGACCTTCCGCAAGGAAAGGGTTTTTTGGAAGCGAATGATGCTGCTACTATAACACACTGGTAGGCGGAGGGATTCGAAGGTGTTACGGTTTTAGATTTTGAGCCTTTTTGCACTGCAACCAGCTCCACTGCGACGATGCCACTTCTCGCTCCCTTTGCCGCCCCCCCCCCTTATGTATCCAGTGGAACATATACTTCCTGGATGCGCATCCCCTCTATCGTAATCACAGCCTTTAACTGCATCCACAAATAAGATTTCGTTTCCATGCCCAATCTTCAAATCCGAATAATCCCTATATTAAATATCTGTACCCATACTTCAACTAATTAGGAACACAACAGAAGCAAAAAGGACCGCATAACTTCAAATCATTACAATTAACATTATGCGACTACTCACTGGAGAAAGAAAATCATGTGTTCTAGCCTACCAATCCAGAGGGCCAATGCGTGCAGCAAAACGGCCGCTGTTTTGCTTTGCTACTACCCGATTGACAAACTGGTAAATATGGTAAATAATAAGTCTGTTGGCAAAATGTTGAACGAAGACTCTCGGCCACATGATTCTAAAATAAAGATCGCGAGCAAAAAGATAGAACTGAAAGGAAAATATAAAAGTTAACATAAAAATTGAGTTTGGAAGTTTTAGCAAGAGACGTGCAAAAGTGTGCATGTTGAAAAAATAGCTGCTTCGAACAAGCGACAAAGATTTCTGTTCTAGAGATTCTGAGACACCATGAACTCGCCAAATGTAAGCCAAAGGTAATCAGTGATAAAACAAATTGATCGAGCACCCCTTCAACGACCTTTTCAGTGACTCAGCGGTTGCCTGTTCGTATGATCAGGTGAATGGCCCGACCGGGACGTTCATGAATCACACCCTAGTTATGTGAAGAACTACTGCGCGTTATACGCCATGAATAGCAGATCTTTAGATAGGTTAGGCCGATGTCAGACTTTGCGAATCGAGCGATTCGCTAGCGAATCGCTGGATCCGAGCGTTGCGCCAGCGAATCGAACGTTGCACCAGCGAATCGAACTATGTGCCAGCGAGTCGAACGATGTACCAGCGACTCAACACTGTTTGAAAGTGGCGGGACCCAACGTTTAAAGGAAGTCCACTTCAAAGGACCACACTGTTTGAAAGTGGCGGGACTTCCTTTGAACGTTGACTCCCGCAACTATCAAACAGTGTTCAGTCGCTGCTACATCGTTTAGCCTATCGCTGGATTCGCGAAGTCTGACATCGGCCTTATGATGTTCGAAGCTGTTCCAATTTGTGCCATTGAAGTGTTCCGACGGCTAGATCCGAATTACATCATCACAATATGATTAACTCTCAGACAGCTTAATATGTTGCTATTTAACTTACTTCTCGTGTAATCTTGTCCAAAGCTTTTTCTTCCGCATCTGTCTTCGTGATCAATCGACGTCTACCTGTACTACTGTTTGCATAGGAGCTCATGGTGTCCACCATAAAACACACCGGTGGCAGGCCGGCACCTGAAAATGCGCTCTTACGTAATGAACTTTGTATCACAAAACAGAGGTAGAGACGTGAGCAACTAGATGAAACAGAACTACAATCAAATCAGCAGTGAAGTTCAAAGTCTAACTGGAAATCTAAATATCTGGTAGACTACCAGAAATCTTGCTTTTCTTCTGCATTTTCGTTGCAATAACCTCCATAATCTAACAAACTCCTTTTATCAACAAAACATTTCGATTTCATGAGCAAACCGTCACAAAGTGATTTCAATTTATAGGAGGCTTGATGGGCATTTAGGAGGAAGCATTAATTGAGTTGAGATAAAAAACCATACTTCTGGCGTTGTAAGAGTTCGATACAATTAATCGATATCGAGCCACAATGAATGAAGTGAACCTCACAAAAAAAGATAATCTTATCCCTTACGACTTATCCTTTTCGTCAAGATAACATAGCCAGGCTAAACTCCAAGTGGTCGAAAAGAAGCGCCAGAAATCCGCAAAACGCTCCACATTCATAACTCGCCAAGGTCTTCAGCAATGATCTCAAAAGCTCCAAATTTCAAATCTGTGAAGTCACTTCAGTAACTCAACACTAAATGAGTTAAAACAGTTCCTCAACACTAAATAAGTTAAAAGGACAAAGGACGAAATTCATCTTTTGATGATCAGTTCATTTTGTTCAATTTCTGCATAACGTATTTCTCGCGATGCTCTGGTTTTCTGTGAACTAAAACGATAAAACCTGCATTACTTGATCGAAAAACTCCTCATCATGCAATTGAAAAATGAATTCCGAGAGTCCGAAAATCAATTATGAAGATGTCCAAAATGAGAGCACAGCAATAAAGTTTTGTTTAGTAACACACAGATAAACAAGAAGATTCGGCATTGCTATTCGATGTGGGCGAAAAATGAAGTAGTAAAGCAAAACTAAAGTATAAATACATGACCACGCCTCCTCTTAGTGTTACAAACTTCCGGAGATGTATCCAATATTAACGTTTAAAGTATCATTTTCAAGTTGCATGAGTCACCAGAAAAGTTCTTGCTTGAAAACAATGAGTCGTTTCACGGTGATGCGAATTTCAAGCCAATATGATGCTAACAAAGGCAGACTGATGTCATGTCGGATAAAAAGCTCAGGCATCGCATCTCTGGTACTGAGTGCATTGCGTCAATAACAGATTATGAACGTAGGCGAAAGAAAAGCGAGAGGGAAAACGACCCCAAGACAATGGGGAGTAGGAGTGCGTGAGTGCATCGCGTTTTGTGTAATACGACCTTAATTTCGTACAACCACAATTTTCACATTGCCCACAATGATGCAGAATTGCGTCGTCAGCACTGATTCACAAATGCTAATTGGACGATGAGATCGGAAACACTGAACATCCGCTTTAGAAAGCAGAAGACACCAATTCATTTTCAGAATTTCTGCTTTTACCGTACGCACTTGGCGTCAAATAAAAAGCCACTGCGCAATTGCACACAACAGCAGCAATCATTCGAGTTTCGTTTCCCGCTTAGTTAGTTGGAGGTGGGCCGTATGTTTATTTCTTTGATGATTCGGCAGCGCTCGACGTGACAAAAATTCTATAAATGCATTTAAAAAAAGGTGGGCTCCTAAAAATAAGTGCGTGGTGGTATGAATTGTGAAGTGTCCAACCGATGTTGATCGAAAGGAACACCATAAATACATAGATGTGTTACATACAGGCTTTCAGGCGTTGGGAACGTAGGCCGAGGGGGAGCGGGAGGGGGGGGGGGTGGCATTATGGTGGCAAGCAATGACTCGAAGAGGCCAAGTGTCCGAACGACTTGAGCCAGCGCTGCTCGGACAGGTCTCAATTTCAAAGCAGCGTTGCTGGAATTCGCTCAGAGCTCAAACCCTCAAGTGGCAAGAACTTAAGAGCGGCATCGATCGTGTCATACACGTTTAATTAATCGTTTCAGAAATTTTTGGATGGTTTTGTTACCACTTCAACTTTCCGACTTCACTCCTATGATTCTGACCTGTGACCGATGAAAGGGTGGAAGTGGTGTAGAGACAAGTGGCGTTGCTTACCATGCGTGCTGTCCGGGGATCAATCCTGGATCGTATGTCTTCCAGGTCTAACCAAGCCCTCGAACCCTACAGCGAGGGCTAATTAATCCACACTTGTCCGGGATGACAAAACCAATGACTTTTAAATTAGTTGGCCCCGCAAGTTTGTATTGACCAAATCGCATTCGAATTGCACACGATCGGAATGGAAGTGGAATGCATGGCACATTCCGAAATGGATGATCAACGCTTTATTCTTTAATTGCCTTCTCAAAATCCTCCACGATAAGAGGCAGATAGCCGATCTCGCGGTTAAGTGCGACTACCCGAACTGCCCACTTCAGATTTAACATGCGCAGGTCTACTGTGCACACATTCCCGCATTTAGTGGCTGGGGAAAGAGCGAGGGCAATGCACCTATCGCTGACCCTTTTCACGGATCTGTCAACTACTGCACCCATTGTAAGCCAAATGCGATGGAGAAAACTCCAAGATTCCGCTGGTTACAGGAGTATTGTTTGGAGAAGAAGACCCCCATATTATCTGTAGTAGAAAAAGCGTGTTGCAATCGAATTACCTCCGCCAGAAAACTCAGCTAACCCCAGGTAACGGACCCACAAATCTCACCTGGGTTTTCTTTGTCTAGTTGTGACCTGGATGACCATATAATCTAGACGACGCATGTATCAACTTTTATTTCTGTCACAGGAATTTTCCTGGATGTAGCGTCTGCCTATATTCAAGTGAGCCTTTCAGCGTGCACACTACATCAGCGAACTCACTAGTTCATTTTTGCTCTCACATATTCACGAGCTTTCACAAAGTTGGTTTATCACATTAGTGGTCGTCGGAAAATAAATAACGTGGAAACTAATGTCTAACTTTTTGTTTCCGGTAGAAATATAGCACAAGAAAGAGTCGAATCCTGACTTGATGTCAATGTTCCATCGATAACCATTTATGAATAGCGACCGAGGGGGATAATAGCTAGCTCTCTCAGTTGGCGGGGCGTGTCCGAGATCCTGTCGTCGACCATGTCGGAGCGATTGTTTCAATCTTTGCTTTGTCCTGTTGAGAAAAAAAGGCGGACACGTTGCCGGCAAGCTCTGTAGCAACAGAAATTGCCGAGATTTCGTCCCACTCTGACGGAATTCAAATTCCCACGCGCGGGAACGCCCCGGCACGAACGGAGTGAACCTACTTTGAAACAAGTCTTGATTTGCTCGTTTGTTTCCTGGTTGTCATTTCAAGATTTATTCATGCTTTTGCGTTTTGAGAAGTAGATTAACTGGTTGTGGCTTTAGAATTGGTACTTCCAGAAAACATGTCAAAAAATGACTCAATTCCATGGGTAGAGAAGTATCGCCCACAGAAATTGGAGGAAATAGTTGGGAATGAGGAAATTGTTCAATCTCTTGGCTTTTTCGTTGAGAAAGGAAATCCGCCTCACTTCATCATGTCGGTAAGTCTCACATCAATCCTATTTGTTAGGTTCATTTGCCAGCCCATTGTCCTTTTTCGATGTGTGTGTTCAAATTATTTGAAAAAAGGTACTGTAGGGTCCACCAGGCTGTGGAAAAACGACTGCTATTTGGGCGATGGCGAGGGAGTCACTTGGAGAGTATGTGAAGAACGGCGTGCTCGAACTGAATGCTTCAGATGATAGGTAAGATTCGTATCAGGATGTATGTGAGTTTGAAGAAGAATCAAATATGGTGCTTCCACACGACGCACTGCCTCTAAGAGCTCACATGTCACGAGGAAGTATCAATCTTGCTAGTGTAATGTCGATATGGTTCCTTAATTATGTATGCTAATGCAGTGGAGTGATGTATGGAAGCTGTACTTTAATTGTCTTTTTTAACGATTCGCAACACCACCACATCACCTTTCGTCTTGTTGCTCAATGATCGTACTCGCGAGCGTCAACAACGACTCCATCCATCTTTCTGCGTACATGAGACTCCAGTGGATCCTTTACGTTTTGAGGGACACGAAGCTTCTCATTCTGAGCGTGCATGAAAGTAAATGATCGTTGAGTCGTTGCTATTTCTGGTGTCGCTTCGACTTCCAGAGGGGCTCAGTCGGTAACCATTCTGGTAGTCGCCCAGTTTTCACCACAAATTCGCATGACAGGTCTGCCTATGTGGTTGTCGAGACCTTGGCGAGAACAGCAACATTTCTGATCTTCTACGTTAACGGTGGGCGTCACTATGCTTCTCTTCCGCATTTCCATTCCATCGGGAGCTCTCAAACACTGCTTTCGAAATAGCCCCTGCTGCATAAGGCTGACGAAACGCTCATCTTGACTATGCAGAGACTTTATTTTTAGAGGATACTACGTCACGACAGGAGGGACTGCAGAATCAAAGCGGGCGCGAGCCGGATGTTCTTCGTTTTCTTCACTGAATGCTACGTGCTTGAATGCTTCCCATGCTGCTCATTTACTCCTGCTCAGTTCTGCAGCCAACGGTAGCTCATGAATCATATTAGGTTTTCCAACCTAAATGCACGCAGCTGGAGCAAATACAGGCGCCTATTTCACGGACCACGATGGAACTTGAATGGGTCATCAGGAATCGCTCCGTTCCTCATAACCATCTCCGTTGGGATCAGCTGCTAACCGAGCTT